CATATTATTGTGCAAAACTATCACCTTGGATCAAGATACAAAAATTTGGCTCTCTTTGTAAGAAGCGAGTAATTCAACAGTCGACTGAGGTTCTTTCTTTGATATTTTCATATGGTTAGATTGAGCTTGTCGAGTTCTACTAGAATATGTATATTGAAAAATTTTAAGCCTTTTCTTTGAAGCAGAATTTGGAGAAAACTACTACAGGAAGTCGAAATAATTAAAGAAAAAAAACGCTACATTATGTTTTTCTGGAAATAAAAAGAGAGTAAAATTTTTGTATCTTCATCCAAGGTGATAGTTTTGCACAATAATATGGAAAATCGTTCGGATAAATAGAAACTTGGTATATTCACCTATAATTTAGAAAAAAAATTTTATTGATAAAGTTGAATAAAATAGTAAAGATACACGAAAAAACTTTTGGTCAATGACTTTCAGGACACCCTGTATAAAGCGTGTGCCATAATAACTGATGATGAATTGTTGATGATATTTTTCATTCTTTTTTGTGACTTACAGGGCTGAAATGTTATGACAGTTATATCTAATGAAGATCTTTTGTATCTGAAAGTTTCAGCTATCTAGCTATAACTAATTATGAAGTACATCGACAACACTGAAACATAGAAATTTTCGAAATTGATTTTTCAATCTTTTCTTTTACTGTAAACATTTCGCGGACAGTTTCATCGATAGTCAATCAAAAAAATCACACAGCATTCTAAACATTTTCTTTCGTACTAAACTTTGTAGAGCTTTTTTCATTGATTTCTTCGGTAAAGAAGTTTTCGAATGCCATTGAGAAGTGACTATGTTCTAGACAAAATACTAATCACCGCAAAATGTAAGTTAAAGTCCATTCGCATATCTCAAATTTGCTGTATTGTGGAGTGTGGGCATGGGTTTTGTGGGTGTGGGTGTGGGTGTGGGGTGTGGGTGTTGGGTATGGGTGGAGGGTGTGGGTGTGGGTGTGGATCTTCTCTGTACATCCGAAATTCATACCGACACCCACACCCACACCCACACCCACACCCACACCCACCCACACCCACACTCACCCCATATTTCATGAGACTTCATAGGACTTCAAGAAACTTCAAAAGGCTTCAGGAGAGTTCAGGGACTTCACGGGATTTCGTGACAGAGAAAAAATAAAGGACTTCAAGACTTCACGAGACTTGAAAAGGTTTCAAAAGGCTTCAGGACTTGATTAGACTTCATGAGCGAAGTTCCCACTGTTTCCCCCTAGCCTTACTGTATATCCTTATTCTATATCCATAGTAGCTAGATCGGGTGCAACCTGCACGATTGCTTTTTTTTGATACACATAGACACTCTCTATATTTTCTGCAGTCCTTATAAACTCTGATACTCCTTCTACTACATATACTCCCAATATTCCTTATGCGGCCCATATCCCCTATATTTCTATACTTCCTACGTCCCTTCTATATTCCCTATACCTCCTATACCATCTGTATTCTCTACACTTCCTATATCCTTTATATTTTCGATACCCCGTATATCTCTATACCCCCGATATTTCCTATACCCTCTGTATTCTCTATAGCTTCTATACGTCTATACTCCATACATTCTCTATTTTCCCCATCCGCCCTATACTCCTTATACTACCTACGTTTCAGTAGAGTCTATATAATCCTGGAACCCTCTAAAACTAACAATAATCCATACGACCTTTGAACCGGCGGAGATTAAGGTTTGACCCTTGACCAGAGAACATTCCATAAAATTGTGGAAAGCTCCAGAAGTCTCTAGATTCGTGGTTATGTCCACATCGTTCGAGAAAGGTGTAGAAAATTCCAGAAGTGTTTGACCTTTAACCTTGAACCTTTGATCTTTGATCTTTGATCCGGTAACAGACGGACAGACAACCGTGCTTTATTATGTAGATTCTATATGCTTATTCTATACCTTTACTTTATATCCTTACACTATATCCCTATTCTATGCCCTTAGAACTAAAGAAAAACCCAATATATTTATATTTTCTTTCTTGACCGACACTCAAGACGTGACATATACTTTTGTAGTTGTTTACTATATTTATTTTAAATAACCTAGGTATTCTTAGTACGTTGGTGATTTATTTCAATCTTATCATGAAATAAATAGCAGCTAAATGACATAAATAAAGTGAAAATGCTGAAAAAGAAAAGAAAGTTCATTTCATCTTGATATTATAAGTAGATAAAAACATTTTCGATGGTTGACAAAAGTCGTTCACTTCGTACAGTAACATATCACGAAGTAAAAGAAATGAAAACTACGTGATGAAATAGTCCTGTCGAATGTACTCTAAACTATATGTAAAAAACATGTTTTATATCGAGCTTTTGAAAAGAAGTTTTCACAATAATTATATGGTGAACCATATTTTCTTTGTCAAATCCTTCTATAATTCCGTATTTTGACTGAGAAACCCCGAAGAGTTCTGCAGAATTAACAGAACCTTTTCTGTTTCAATATCTTTGGGTAAAACACTTTTGATAGCTCAGCATTTTTTGACAGAACCTTACGAGGTTCAGTATTACTGGGCGGAACCTGTTCGGTGCAGCGTTCTTGGACGGAGAGCTTTTTATGGTTCAGCATTTTTCTGATGGAACCTTACAAGGTTCAGGAATATTGGGCAGAACCTTTTCGGTTCTGCACTTTTCGACAGAGAACATTGTATGGTTCAGTATTTTTTTGGCAGAACCTTACAAGGTTCAGCATTATGGGGCAGAACCTTTCGGGTTCCGGAATTTTAGATAAAGAACTTCTTTGGTTCAGCATTTTTTTGGCAGAACCTTTCAAGGGTTCAGTAGTATTGGGCAGAACCTCATCGGTTCAGCATTTCTAGAAAGGGAACATTTGATAGTTCAGCATCATTGGACGGAACCATTTTGGTTCAGCATTTCTGGGCAAAGAACTTTTTATGGTTCAGCATTTTTTGACAGAACCTTACAAGGTTCAACATTATTGGGCGGAACCTTTCAGGGTTTTGTACTATCATACGGAACTGTAAATTGGTTCTGCAGCATGTGCAGAACCAAAAATAGTTCTGGAAAACTCCTTTTTTTTTAGAGAGTAGACGCACCCGTATGGTCCACCTATCACTCTTTGTCTTTCCTGTCCTTCTTATCACATATTTTTCTTTTCCTTACGAGGGAACGTTCCCAAGTGATTAAAAGCTTTTGAGCTCATATGTTACCCATTATGTAGAGGACCACTAGATTAGAGAAACCTCCAAAGGATTCGTGCCCATATTGAGATTTGACAGAGATATCGAATTTTTAGTGGATTTTCCTGCTAGACCCTAGTTCTACAGCAAAATCATATTTTCGAATTTCGACCTGAAACTTTGCCCAAATGGAGGCCTCGATCAGAATAGCTTGTATAAAAAATTTCAGAATTTTCGGACATTGCATCTCCAAGGTATCAATCTTTCAAAGTATCCATATTATCTATAGAAAAGTGCCTATATTTTCAAAAATTGATACCTTGGAAATGCAATGTCCGAAAATTCTGAAATTTTTTATACAAGCTATTCTGATCGAGGCCTCCATTTGGGTAAAGTTTCAGGTCGAAATTCGAAAATATGATCTTGCTGTAGAACTAGGGTCTAGCAGGAAAATCCACTAAAAATTCGATATCTCTGTCAAATCTCAATATGGGCACGAATCCTTTGGAGGTTTCTCTAATATAGTGGTCCTCTACCTAATGGGTCACATATGAGTTCAAAAGCTTTCAATCACTTGGGAACGTTCTCTCGTTAGTCACACTTCGGTTTATACGATACATCTTAAGAAAACACTTTTATTTTTCTTTTCTGTTCAGTCTCTCTTACGTTCCTTTGCCATCTCTAAACTATTACATATACACATATATTATGTTCTCGTACGAATCATATATACAGGAAACGATCGACACATTCTCCCATATTACCCACATTATACGAACATCCGGGAATATAAATCTCATAGAGATTCATGGGAGTGAAAATCATGATGAAAGGACTTCTTATGAGAGTCCTATCTATATTATTTTTCGTTTCAGATATTTCAGATCTACATCTAATCAAAACTACTCGTCTACGTATTGTAAGATATATATTTAAAAAAAAAATTAGTTACAAAAAAAAAATTCTTTGTTATTTAGTTTTTTTTGTTTTGCTTCATTTTCTTGTTCTATTTACTCATAACACACAAAGATGAACTTTTCAAAAAAAAAGTTCATGTTCAACAGATTTCAAAGATAATTATATACCATCATATCAACGATTATTACGAAGAAATAAATCTTGGAAGCCTAAAAAAGTCGAACAAGAACACGATTTACAGAAACAATGTCGGACAGGAAAATTAACATCGTTTACACAACCTGATAATTATTTATGTTATTTTATACATGAACGAACTGATATCTTTATTTTGGACAAATTAATCGATCAAGCAAAATTAACAAATCATTTCTCAATGGACACAGAAGATGACGCATTGCCACACAAACCAGCAACATTACAAGTTGAATTTATTCGTCAAACATTAACACCAATTATTATTATCATTGAAGTTCAATATTTACTATCAATAACAACTCCGTTATTTAAGAAAATACAACATCTATGTTCTCTTATATTCACATCCAACAATTATATTTATTCATGGGGTTCAGCATTACAAGAACTTGGAAAATTAAATTCATTTCAATTATTCACCACCAATATTAAAATCCAAGAAGATGATGTACAAGATACATATGATATTAGTCAAAAGCAATCATTACAAAAAACAATTAAATATGAATTTAAAGAATACTTAAATAAAACTGCAACATTATCCGAATGGGCCTGTGGTGTTGATTTATCATTAGGTACTTATATTCCAGATAATGTAGTTGGTCCTGAACGTACATATCGAATGCGTGAAGAAAAGAAACATCGAGCAATATTAAAAGAATATGCAATTAATGATGTTTTTGCTGTTACACGATTATCGTACAAATTAAATTTAATACAATTTTCACCAACAAGTTATTATGAGGATATCCCTGAAGATGAAGAAGATTTAAATGTACAACAAGAATTATCAATTGATATACAATCACTACCTGAAGAATTAATAGTTCATGTTACAGATGAACTAGAAGTCACTAATGAAAATGAATTATCAAACCAACCACACGACGATATTGAACCAACTCGACAAATAAACGATCAACCTTATGAATCAAATGATATTAATACAATACATGTGGAACAAGATGTTATTGAACTTCAACTTAATGATGATATGGATATACAATCTTTACCTGAAATTATGAAAGTTCATTTTTATCATGAACCAAGTCGTCCACATCTACAACAACATCATAATGAACAGTCATCAATTCAACAGATGACAGTTCATGTAACAAATGAACAACATCAGGTGAGCAATTCTCATCATTTAGGTCCAAATCCAACAACAACGTTTACATCCAAACAACTAAGAAATCGAAAGACAAATCGTCGACATCGTAT